GTCCGTTGAGGCAGAGCTTCCCGTTGGTGCAGATAGTAGTTCGTTCATGGCTATGTAGATCTTTCATTTTGCATTTGATCTTGCATTAAATGTTTGCTTGCTAAATCTAAGTTACGTGAAGTCCTTTGCGTAATTTGTTTACTTTTATGTTTGACTTCAATCATAACCTAGGTATTTCTTTTCTCTTTCTGTCAGTGTAGCTGTAGAGGCATTGTCTTTTTTCTGAAAAGTAGGTGTACTTGCTCTAGCACTCGTAGCTTTGACTTGTGAATTCGCGTTCTTCTATTTTTCTTCTTCCTTTTCATATTTTTGATGACCCTGTATGCTCTTCTTATGAATGTAGACGATATATAATATTCTTCGTTGTGAATAGTAGACTTCAGACGCATTTCAATATTCTTTGTTTGTGTCTAGAATTTGAGTCTTCGTTTAAGAGATAAACTTTTGACTTTTCCTTTCATCTGGTTTGACCTTCCTTTTCGTTTGGTTTGACTTTTCTTTCGTCTGGTTTGACCTTCCCTTTCGTTTGATTTGACTTTTTCTTTCGTCTGATTTGTCTTCTTCGTCTTAGCTTATCCATCATCTGATGCTTTGACTTTTGACTAGTTGACCATTAAGCTTCAACTTTGTCTTGTTCTTGACTTAGTCTTGTTTGATGCTTGTTTTGGCCTTTCATCTGCTACTTCAAGACTTCTACTACTAGTACACTTTGTCTTGTATCTAGCTTTTGAATTGGTTTTTGTCTTGATGCCTGATTAACCATCGTCTGATGTTTTGTGTAGCTCATCCAGACATGGTATGTGCAATAACGCGTACTCCATTTTTCAGTTTGTTCTTATATTTATTTGAAACACTAACACACATGTTAGAAATAACAATATGCATTATATTTTTCATGCTCAAAACCTTGTCGAGAATTTCTTCGTTTGACTTAAAGAAGAGGTTGTTGGAATGACCACCCCTGAACATGACTTACCAAGTGCTCTACAAAGCGATGCACATAAAAGACCTACTGGTGTTCGCAATGCTGGTGTTGTTGAGAACGATGATGTTGGTGTTGTTGGGAATGGTGATACTGGTGCTGCTGGAAATGCTGAAAATGATGCTGGTGTTGGGGATGCTACTAGTGCTAATGTTGTTGCTGGAAAAAAAGAAAGAAAGGAAAAGGTGGTAGAAAAAAGGATCTGAATACAAATAGAGAGAATTTTGGACTGCATAACAAAGGTTTTGTAATGCTAATGAATTTTATAATTCACAAAGAGTAGAAGAAGATATTGAGCATGGGTATGCTAGTGAGACTCTAAAAAGTGATGACTCTGAGGAGGATGGCCTATGTAGGAAATATGAGAAGTTTAATATAGATTTTTTGAACAAAGACTGCAACTAGAAGTTGGGATTGGAATTTGGTTCTATTAAGGAGTTCAAAGAAGCAATTGTAGAGTACAATGTGTTGAATGGAAAGGAGATAAGGTTTGACTTAACTGACAAGAAGAGGGCCAAGGCAAGGTGTAGACATTTTGTTGAGTACTTTGTCTATGTGAGCAAGGTGAGCAATTCTGAGACTTACAAACTGAATACTTTGCATGATAAATACACATGTGAAAGGGTTTTTCATAATAGATGTGCAAAGTCTTCCTGGATTGCCAAAGTTTTGACTAACAAAATGAAAGCCACACTAGTGACATGGCATTGAAAGATATAGTTGGTGAAATTCAAGCCAATTATTCTACTGGAATATCTCACGAGAGCCCTCTTTCAATTTGTTCTTAACCACAAAAGTGGAAAGTGAGGTGGACATCTAGCTGCCATGGCATACATTGTTGGGTGATGACGTGGCAATCTGTCAGTCACGTCATCATTTAACATAGAGGGACTAACGTCAGGTACTAAATTGAAGAAAAAATAGTCAAGTAATTTAAAAAAAAAAATTAATAGATAATAATCTAAAAACTGAGCTAATTAAAAATAATTTAAACATATTTAAGTCTATTTTTTTTAACAATTTTTTGCAATTACAATAAAATTAATTTTACATTAAAGAGAGATTATATTGATAAGATGAAAGGACATTTCAATAATTATCATGATGTTACAGATCCTGTAATTGTTATTATATGACTTTCCAAGTTAAAAAAATATATGATAAGGATGATAATTTATTATGTATTTTACTCTTTTACTATTAAAATTTAGTTTTAAAAATTTTTAAAATTTAAAACTAACGCAAATTAACGACTTTAAAATGTCTATAACATTTGTTAACGGTAAATTTCCTAATGTGAGTAGATAAGAACTTATAACTAAATTTTTTTACATTAGTTTTTAATTTTTGTATTATAAGTCTAATAATTTGATTTTTGTTTTATAAACTTAATTAATTATATTATTAATAATTTTTAATTTTTATTTTATAAACTAACATGTGTATTAAATTTTTTATTATATTATATAATTAATATAAAAAAAAATTGGTTTGTTAATCAATAAATGAATGCTTCATGTTTCATAAATGAATGTTTCATGCTTCATAAACCTTGCATGTTTCATAAAGTAAGATTATGTTTCCAATGATATATCAGAAGATAAGAATGTACTCCATTCATGATTTTCGAGCCAACCAAAACCTACAGTTGGTTGAACATAAGAAAAATACATTTTTAATGTATATTTAAACATATTTTGCCTTATAATAGTTTATAACTAATAACAATTAACTTTGATCTTCTGTCTCTTCTTATTACAAGCTTTTCCAACACTAAATCATATCGTTAAATTTTTCATGACATTTCAAAGGATTCAGATAATATAAATTTTTCAACGTCCAACTATAACAATTAAATTATGGTACGTTTTTTTTATTTTTGCTTAAAATTTTATATAATAATTTTTTTTAATATTATAGTAATAAAGATTGACCTTTAGTTATTTCGAATTACTAACTGTGATTCCATATGCATGAGTAATTTAGTGGTGGATATTAATAAAAATCGAAACAAAGTTTTGGAACCATAACAAAAGTCAATATAGAACTTACAATATGATTCTTAGTTTAAACTAAAATAAATTATTTATAAAAATTATTACAAGACAGTAATAAGCATGAGATTATATTTTCTCAAATTGTTTTTTAATAAATAAGGATAAATTAAGACAAAACAGTCAGAACTTATGGGATAGTTGAGGATTTACCGTAAACTTCATGTACATTGTCTTAATTTACTGTATCTCCGATAAGTAACCATCCAAATTGTTTTTTTTTTTTTTTACTTTGATTTGATTCAAGCATTTTTGTTAGAATATGTTTATTAATTAATAGATTTATAGATAGTGGTGTATGAAAAATTGTTGTTTTTACTTTAATTTGATTCAAACATTTTGTTAGAATATGTTTATTGATTAATAGATTTAGATAGTGATATATGAAAAAATATTAAATTAGATTATAAAAATTAAATCACTTTTATAAAAATAGTTTAGTTAACTAAATCACTTTTATAAAGCCAGTTTGATTTTTTAAAGAAAAAAAATAGAACAATAAATATAAAATAAATAATCAAATTAAGTCATTTTAAAAAAATCTATCCATTTAATAAAATAAGACTGGAGAAAAAGATATTTTTATATTTATATATATATATATATATATATATATATTTTAAGAGCATGTAATTGTAAAAGAAATGATTAAAATGTAAAATAAGTAATCATACAACTGCAACAAATGAGTAATTTTAAAAACAATAAAATATATAGGATGAATTTGAGAATAAAAATTTTATTGAAAAAGTAAAAATACGTATTAGTTTTATAAAAATCAATTTGGAATACTTACTTTTTATAAATCTAAAAAGTAGGTTAAACATTAATTAGATTCCTAAAGTTAATATTCTACCTCGAATTAATTCTTTTAAAATTATTAAAAAAATCAATTTAACTCATAAAAATACTAGCAATCTAAAATTAAAAAACACACTCCTTAAATATAATCTATAATCTAATGGTCTTTTTTAATCTATCTCAAATAACTAATAATTATCTGAAATCAACAATTGAATTTACATTTTTTTAGCTTTAGAAATCAAATTAACTAAAAAGAAATGACAATTTCATTGATCAAATTACAAAATATACATTATATGGTATAAAAACTAAATTAAAGTTATTTATTAATTTTTTTAAACATTTTTTTTTTAAATTAAAAGACATTAACTTTTATTTCAAACAACACTCTTACGTTTTTTTTTTTTTTTTTTTTTTTTTAAAAATTTTTTTTTTAAATTAAAAAAAATTTAATTTTTTTTTAAAAAAAAATTTTATTTTTTTTAATTAAAAAAAAAAATTTTAAAAAAAAATAAAAAAATATTTTTTTTTTTTTTTAAAAATTTTTTTTTTAAATTAAAAAAAATTTAATTTTTTTTTAAAAAAAAATTTTATTTTTTTTAATTAAAAAAAAAAATTTTAAAAAAAAATAAAAAAATATTTTTTTTTTTTTTTTTTTTTGCTTCCGTATCTTAGAACACTCCATCCTCCCATTCACATTCTTCCAGCCTTAATAATAGCAAAATAGCTAAGTAAGGGGGAGCTGAAACTTTCACATTCTTCCTACCTTAACAATAACAGCTAACTAACAGAAAGAGCAGAAATCAACAAGAAATAGATTGAAGTTACAAAAATAATTAACAATGATGGCTGGACTAAATATATTTGGGTTTGAAAAAAACCATGGGGACCAACAAATCGATAATTTTTATCATAAACTAAAAATTACATGAAAATTAAAAAAAAAAAAACAACAAAAGAACATTTGAAGAAATAAACTTTAAGAAAAAAAATTTTAAAAGACAAATAATAATAACAATAACTATTAATCATATTCATTAACCCTTCAACTCAGAAAACAATTCAAGCAAAACACTTTTATTTAGTTTATCTGCAACTGCTACCATAAATCATAAATAAAAAAATAAAAAATAAAAAAATCATTCACCGCAAATTTAATCTATATACAAATCAATAAACTTTATTAAATCTGCCTCAATCAAAATTCTGAAATTTTTTGTCTAATTTTTCTCTTTTTTCTCCTTTAGACAATAATAATTGTGAATAATTCTTATTTATTTCCATTACTTCACTCAAAATTACTATCAAAATTGAGACCCTAGAAGAATAAACTTCCATCTCTATTACCATTACCTCCAAAACAAAAAAGAAAAGAAAAAACTTTTAAAATCAAAGACCACTGGTTGGGGTAGATTATGTAAGTACAGTTTTAACGGCTTCCTGTACCATCACTACCATTTGGGAGTTGAGACTGAGTGCTAGATTCTGTTGAACTTTCATCTTTAGTCGTTTCTTCCAATGTGATATTTTGAAAATTAGATGTCAGATTACTGTGTCTCCATGCAAGAGGAGATACTGAACCACCAGAATCAGCAGCTAACACCCATGCCGACCACTCATTTTTTCGTCTCAACTTGTCACCCTGTAAAAAATGTTAAGAGAACTAAACAGTTGAAAAACATAACAGATTAAACATAAAAAAATGTATAAAATACATAATAAAAAAATACTATAATATGAGAGCTTACCTGCACTTCCACGACCAAAGAAGTTCTCAGAGAATCCAGTATCAACTGAATGTTACTTGTCAAATTTCTAACCTGCAAAAAAAATATTTCATTAAATAAAAAAAAACTTAAGGCACAAAGTATTTATGAGAAATTTTCGGTTATATCAAAAACATAAACAAGAATTCTGACATTTACAATGAGTAACAAATCACTTATCCATCACAACTTTTAATTACAAAACTTGTAAGACTAAGTTTCGAGAGTAGATTAAATGTTGATAAAAGGTTACCACATATTTTTAAATTGCATGTACAATGAGGTATAGGGAAAATTTGATTAAGAACACAAATAGACTAACAAATACTTTTACTTTTTCCAATTTTCTCATTTTCACTCTTAATAGAAGAATAAAAACTAACATATTTCATTTCTATCAAAAAGAAAACATAAAATGCAATGTACATTAGGCCTCCAATCCTCCATTGTTAAATTAGGTTTGATTTCTACATGTGATATGTTTGAATTTGGATGAATGACTTTGAAGGAAAATGTGTTATTATTTGTTTCTGATTCTAGAGATAAAATATTTTTATATTTTTAATAATTAATAAAAAAACAGTTGAAGTGTTATGCAACAATCCCTCATTTTATTAATTTCATTTTAAAAAATTTTAAAATAAGAGAATGATAACCATAAAAAAATATAAATTTCATTCCATTTCTCTCTAAATTTCATTCAACCGTGGGTTATGTGCATGAATTTTCATATAATGACCTACTATAATCACATAATATAACCTTACTCTCATATCTTTCATATAAAATATATTGTGTGTATAAATACAAACAAGTTCAAGACAAAAACTTGAAAAGTATTAAAACCTTTTATAAGTGATCAAAGATTTATAAACAGATTCAAGGTGACTTTTCAGAAAATCCAATTTCATCACCTTGTCACCTTGATTATAATAAACTCATCTTCATTTGAAAAAAAAATTAAATAAGAAGTCAATGACCTAACCGAATAAATTCCCTACGATGTTTATGTTCCATTTAATGATGGAAATAATATGACCCAGCATAAATTCATACCTCTGTTTCAGCAGGGCCCCCAAAACACATTAAATTTTGATGATTTTTTAATCTTATACACGATTTTCACATTTTTTGCATACTGATCGGTGAGAAAAATTTTCATTCTTTCAAATGTTATCTTATCTATCTCCTAAATGAATTTATCAACATATAAAACATATTTCCATTAAATTTTGACAATTTGCTAAATTAATATCCAAACTCAAAATTAAATATTTTATGGATGCCTATTTCTCTATTAAGACATCATAAACTAACATTTTTTACCCTGAAAAAATTAATTATTTGTGTTTCCTTTATTTTTCTTGATAACACCATAACAAGCATCTATAGGATCTTTTAAAGATTCCACCATCCATAACAGCAGCAATTCATATACTCAATACATGAAGATATTAAAGCAAAGAAAAACAAAATGTGGCCACATATACAAGAAAATTATAAAATAAAATAATTTAAAAAATAAAATTAAATAAAAAGAAAATTTAATATTAAAACTCACCGAAACACATAACCATCCTAAACAGACTACATATAGTGTCTCCCACACACAAATTTCAGCAAAATGAATAATTATAACAATTTAAATATAAAACTCTTGCAAAAGTAATATTTGAAAAGAATTACAACTCAAACAGTCACAAACAACAAATTTCAAACTTTTAAGTCAAAAGATTTTTGTTTTATTGAGATAAAAATCCAATTTTATCATTTCTGTCGGGTGCAGCATTACTTTAATAATGGAAAATCCTTCAATGGCAACAATATTAAAAAATAGCAAAAAAAATTTCAAGAAATGCAGCAAGTAATGCTTAACTAAGAAATGCAGCAAGTAATGCTTAACAAGCACGAATAGCTTACTCGAGGGAAGTCCGCTATCAAAGTAACAGGAACCCAGCCCTGATCATCCATTTTGGACTTTAAAAACTCATCTCTCACTAAATTATCATCACTGCAAAAATCAATTCTCACATGAATAGAGAATCCAATTATTTATGATAGACTAAACAATAAGCAATACATTAAATTTACCAAAAGTAATATTCAATCTGCTTGAGTATCAAATTGGAGAGAGGTTCTGCAGCAGAGAAATATGTTGCAGGAGGGGGGCCATGAGTGAAGTATGGCACACCTGTAAACTGTTCCACTGCTACAGGTCGATAATAATAGAACTCTAAAATAAAAAATAAAAATAAAAACATTAGTTACATTTTATTTTATAAGAAAATATTGATGTCAAGGAGAAATAAACTAACCAGAAAAACCCATGGGGTTAGCATATGATCCAATGGGCTGAGTTGCAGCAGTACTAGGTGGTGGGTGCCTCAGTAATCCTCTTGGAGGCATCCTTGATTGAGGTAAAAAAGCATCTCTAGTACTCACATAATTTCCACGATCATCACGCCTGCTATTATGATAGGAACCATCTCCACGTGGATGAGGCGGCCCAAAGTAACCCCTACGAGAGGAACCCTGATATTCGTTCATTATAGGCATAAAACCCCCAACAATTGGTCTTGCATCCCAGTTATTGTCCCAGTATTGATCTCTTGTAACAGGATCACGGGTTCCAGATACCATATTACCATAGCTAACTGGTGGGAGCTGGTATACAGGAAAAGGCGGGGGTGGTGGTGGCAGGGGAGGGTTGGAGAAGTTGCTCTGTGAAGGGCCAACAGACCCACTGCTGTTGCCACTTACTCGCCTCATCGGTCTCGGTCTCGGTCTATTAAGACCATTATAATTGGTTACAGAGTTATGTCTTGCATCAGTAGTAACCTGTTTCCGAGAAGAAGATTGTGAAGTCATTGGCCCCTGCTAACATCATAAAAATGTCATGCAAACAGATTATAGTCACCACTCATTATCATTAACATAATATTTTTTTTTTAAATGTTCTTTATCATGTCTTTACAAATAAATAAATCCATAATTTATTACACAAAAAAGAAAATTTAAGCAGAGAATTAAGACATGTATTTGAACAAAACCTGAGAAGTTGAGAGTGATCCATCAACGACCGTCTTGGAGGAAGATTCAGCTGACAATTTGGCAGAACCTTTGGTGGATACAGACAAAGCGGGCCACGATTCAGCGCCCATTACAGGTCCACACTCAACTCCGTTCGAGGGCTTCTTCCAAATGGGCTTCTTAAAGCGATCCACATTGCCCTCACAACTCTCAGAGCAATCTGCAGCACCAACAGTATTACAATTATGCACAGGCGAAGACGATAAAAGCACCTTAGGAGAACACTCTGACAACGGCAATTGGTCAGCCACCAGAGACGACGACGATGATGGCGAAGGTGGCGATTGGTTAATGTCAGCTACTGATTCTGGCTCGCCGCCGCAAACCACCTGAGCCCAAGGCGAGGAAAGATTTTTTCGCCAGAACTTCGGGCTGCTGCCATCTATAGGCTGCGCCGGTGGCGGGGCACTAGGCCGCGAGTGATGGTTTGAAGATTTAGCAGTGGTGACCATTGATAATTAGGGTTTCTAATTTTTGGAGTTTTTTTATTTTATCAGAGTGAAACAAAAGAAACTGCAGAGAGAATAGATTGATCCGTGTAGAACCAAAGGCATGAAAGAAAAAAAAAATCAATAAATTAAATTGAAAAAAAAAAAATATATATATATATATATATATATAAAATGAATGTATTAGGATTTATCTAAATAGAATGAAATGCGAATAGATCTTAAACACAAATAATCTTCTAAGCAAAATTGTGATTTCTCCCTTTGAGTTTGTCAGTGTATTCTTCCTTCTTTTATCACTCATCAATTAAACTTTAAATTTATTTATTTCTTTTTTTATTATAAATTTTATTTTTAAAATTTTTTATATTATAAAATTAAGATTTTTAATATTTTAAAAAAAGAAATAAACATAAGTCATTATAATATCTTAGAATTTAATATTAAAAATATTTTTACAAGTAAATAATTGAAAACAATTTAAAATTTTAAACATTTGTTTTAAATCTATAACAAATTTTAGACATATTTTTTCATCTCTTAATTCATGTTTGTGAATTTTTAAGATATTTTAAATGAATAAAAGTGCATGAAAGACACACTTTCACTCAAATACATATATAAAATGCAAGGATAGTTATAGTTATAAGAGAATAGGAGGAGTTATCTTTACTATTTTTAATCATTTATAAATTTATAAATAAAATATTTTAAATCATAAAATATAAACAATTTAAAATATTGTTAAGAATAATTTTCATTTACATTATAAATATTTTATGTCTCCATTAACTTATTTTAATTGATTTTTTTAATTTAATTTTTTAATATTATTTTTCTTTTTTTAATATTAATTTTACACATTATTTTTGTAATTAAAAAAACTCTCAATTATGTTAAATTATATCTATTTAATTTTTATGTCAACATATAAATTTTTAATTATCTAACCTTTCAATCTATTATATTTTAATTCTATTTTTTAATTTAATTTTGATAACTTATTTTTGAAAAAATTATTAATATTTAAAATAATTTTATATAAATAATTATTGATGATGAATTCATATTTTAGTTCATATATTCAAATATATTCATTTATTATGAATTTTAATTATAATATAATTAAACATTGAAAATATTTTTTAAAATTTAATTATAAAAAAAATTAGGTTAAAATACTAATTTGGTCCTTTATAATATTTGTTTGTGTCAATTTAGTCTCATTTTAAGTTTTTGTTTCAATTTGGTCCCTAATAATTTAAATTAGTGCAATGTTGGACTTTCGTCCAAATTATTTAAACGGAGTTAACTGTTAGCTACGTGGATGCCACGTAAATGCATAGGTGAATGCCAAATTTCTTGAATACACCTGGAACCAGAACGACCCATTCTAAAACCAGAACGATCCGTTCTGGTTACACTCTTAGTATGTTAATTTTGCACCTGAAACGGGCCGTTCCAGATGCAGAATTAACACACCAATAGTGTAACTAGAACGGGTCGTTCTGGTTCCAGAATGTCAAACACAAACGATCGATGATTATAGTTCACGCTTGTGAATCGTGTAAGGAAAAAGACCCAAAGTACAAAGCATTTCAAACACTGGATTTAATAATATTGTCAATGGGGATTTATAACTTCAATGGCTAAAACATTTGGGCTATACAATGTATCATTAAGGACAATGCAGTGTATCACTAAGGACAATGATAGCAGGTTTTATTTTATTGTTAGTCAAACTGGAGTGAACCACTTACTACCAAATTGACATTGTACAGTCAAGGATGAAACGACATGGTGTTTCCCCTTGAAGTCATTGACAATGTACCCCAACAACAACAACCTGTTCTTAAGGAGGTACAACTTGAAGTAAAGGAAGAGGATACACATGACCAACATTTCACCACACAACCACATGTACACGTAGATAATGTTGATATCCTATCATTGATTCAGTGTTATATGGTGGATAAGATGTATTATTGGCACCTTCAGCGTTATCTAGATGATTTCCCTTCTCAGTAATTTCTTTTTGAACTTTTTTAGTATATATTATGTTCTGAATTTTTGTTTTCAATTTCTAAACCATATTTCTGTCTTTGAATTTATGATATGTTATGAATTTTTATTTTCAATTTTTGAATCACCTTGCGGTATTTTGTTGAACATACGTATGTGGTTGGCGTTCTGGAATTGATCATTCTGAATTCAGAAGGGACCGTTCTAAAACCAAAACGTTCTATTCTAGTTTCAGAACAGTCCGTTCTACTGCACTCGTGGTATGTTAAATTTACATTTTGATGTGAATCCAGCCGGGTAAAATTGGAGACTAACAAGCCCAAACTCATATAATCAAGAAGAAGCATTAATGGGCTAAGAGTTTAAGTAGTTTTGGACTGAAAAGTTGAAGAAGTCCAACTTTTGTGTAATTTTCATTTTATTTTATTTATTAAATAAATCTGATGGGTTTCCTTTCTTTTTAGGTTGCTAAGGGAAAATAAATGCTAGTGGGAATTAATGGGATTTTATTGCTTAATTAGTGGGCTAGTGAGGAGTCAATTCTAGTGGATATTAAGTGTTAATGGGAAATTATGTCATCTTGCCCATCTAAGCTTATAAATAGGAACTATTTGTAAAAATTTGGAGAGAGAATTTGGATATTTTTCCAATTGAGAGGATTTTCTCTCTCTAGGTTCTTAGGAACTACTTTTGATTCTTATCCTTGAATTTCCTAATTCAAAGTGGCGAATCTTCCTCAACTTATCAATCTTTAGGGATTGTGGCGTTGTTCTTCCATTTCTTACCTCAATCCATATTTTTTTCTTTTAATTTCTTAATTATGAGCTTTCCAACCTAGATAGATCCGTAAAACGAATCCATCCCTTTGGGTTCATATCACATTTGGAACGGCCCGTTCCAGATGTAAAATTAACACATAACATGTGCAACCAGAACGGGTCGCTTTGGTTTCAAAATGGACCATTGTAGTTCCAGGTGTATTCAAGAAATTTGGCATCCACCTATGCATTTACGTGGCATCTACGTGGCATCTACGTGGTCAACAGTTAACTTTGTTTAAATAATTTGGACAGAAGTCTGACATTGCAATAATTTAAATTATTAGGGACCAAATTGAAACAAAAAATTAAAGTGGGACTAAATTGAAACAAATATATATTATAAGGGACCAAATTAGTATTTTAACCAAAAAATTATCATATATAATATATAACTAAAATACTAATTTATATATAAATTTTTTTTATTCTCTATGTAAAAAAAATTTATCCCATTTTGTTAATAGAAAGATATATTAAATAAGATTATCCGAAAAAGTAAATTTATAATCTTAAGCTTCTATATTTTTTTATGTTTTTATATTTTTGTTTTTACCTACTTTTATAATGACTGAGAGATATTTGGCCGATGTCCATTGAATGACCAAGATATATTCAATCTTGTATGATTGATGTGCTTCTAAGTAATATGAACACTTGATATGCAACTCGATTTATATTAGACATATTTTAAAAATATTAATATAATTTTATTGATTTGATCTCTTATTAATATAATTTTACAAGTTTATGAAAAAAATTGTCAAAAATAAAAAATAGAATTTTAACTTCTTACTAATATTTTTATCTTGTACATAAAGATAAAAATATGTTAGTTTTTTAATATATAAGCTAGATTTATTTTACAAAATTAAAGTTTAATCTATTATCTATTTTAAGTTTTTTTTTTACATATCTAATTTAGTCTTTTTGAAAGTTTGGTCTAACCTATTAGTCTATTTAAAAACTTATTTAAATTATTAATGTTGATTAGGCCAATAAGCTTAATTTTTAAAATCAACAAATTTATTTTTAAAATATAGTTTACTCAATATTATTAAAATTAAAATTTTAAAAAATATATAAAAGAAAAATTGAATCATTTTCTATTGAAGGAACAATTCATGCATGATCATGTATATTAATGTACATTCATGCACAAATCGTAAGTTTATAAACCTATAATAAAAAAATAATTTTATAAAAAAATATTTTAAATATTGATAATTTATTTTATTTTATTAACTTGTTTGTTTATTTATATTTTTAATAATATATATTGTTTTTTATATTATATAAATAAATAGGTTGATCTATCAAGCCTAACAAACTTTTTTATAAGCCTAAGTCTGACTTTTTAAAATAAATAGACTTTTTTAAATGCCTAAACCTGACCTTGTTTTAAAATAAATAGACTTTTTTAAATACCTAAACCTGACCTTATTATTAAATAAACTAAGGTCAGACCAGACTTTAAAGAGGTTAGGTCATAATATAAGGTCTGACCTATTCTTATTGCTAATCGTACAATGTACAGAATATTTACTTTTTATAACTAAAATTGTTAATAAATTAAAATAAATATATAATTATTATATATATATATATA